TCTTTTGGAAGAAGGAGGATGACCATTTAATGATAGTTCAGATTTATGTTGATGACATTATTTTTGAATCAACTAATCCCAGCTTAACTACCGAATTCCGAAAATTAATGGAAACAAAATTTGAAATGAGTTCAATGGGTAAAATTAACTTTTTCAATGGTTTAAATATAAGACAGAGTTCAGAGGGATTATTCATGAATCAAGAAGCATTCACAAAGATGTTATTGGTCAAATTCGAAATGGTGGGTGATTCAAAAGTTAAAGTCCCTATGGCGTTCGAAACGAAACTATATCATTCTCTTGATAAACCAGCAGTAGATATTACCTTGTTTCGTCAGATAATCGGATCTTTAATGTATCTGACATCTAGTGGTCCTGACATAATGTTTGTTGTTTGTTACTATGTCAGGTTTCAAGAAAATTCTCATGAACCACACATGATGGTTGTAAAGAACGTATTCTGATATCAGAAATGAACATCTTAACGCGATTTATGGTATCCATCCAATTCAGGATACTTTTTGCAAGCGTACTCCGATGCTGACTTAGGGGGTTATTCCCTTGATCGGAAAAGCACATCAGGCGGATGTCAGTTGTTGGATGGCAAGCTTGTCAATTGGCAATCTAAGAAGCAAACTTGTGTATCCTTATCCATAGCTGAAGTAGAATACATTGCAATAGAATCATGTAGTTTGGATTCAGAATCAACTAAGAGACTACATAATAAATATGAAACGAATTCCATTATATTCAGATTTTGAAAGTGCCATATGAATCTGCGACAATCCAGTGCAACATTTCAAGACAAAGCATATAGCACTCAGATGCCACTTTATAAAGGACCATGTCGAAGATGGAATTGTGGAAGTTCACTTTGTTCGACCTCATATCAGTTAGCAAATATCTTAATGAAGGCCTTACCAGAAGTATCATTCAATCAGATTCTACAAGGTTTGGGAATGATCGAATCTAAATCTATTCCAAAATCCACATCGTAATCATCAGAGTTACTGTAGCATTCTGAATGATTCTAATCTTCGGAATTTGTCGGATTTTACTGTTCACTTCCGAATTATTCCGCTCTTCGGAATGGTTCTGAAAAGTAACTGTTCATTCTGATTTCGTAATTTACTATCTTTGTAAATCTTATCAGAAAAGCAAAAATCAAAAAATGTTTTATTTATTTACTTTATTTATTCTTTTCAGAAAAACAAAATTCCAAAAATATTTTATTCATTTCTGTTTTTTCTTTTTCAGAACTTCAAAAATCTCAAAAATATTTTTCTTTATTTCATTTTTCTGAAAAATCAAAAATATTTTCTAAGAATTGAAATTCATTTATGAATTTTAGTCTGCAACAAGGAATTGACTGTTGACATCATAACTTCTTTATACCATATCTTATCGCAACTTCCACATAGTCCTTTGATTACTGGAACACAACCAGTTTCAGTATAGGACTACAAAAACTCTAGTTAATGATTGCAAAATCATTGTTAACATGATTTTCATGAAACTCAAAACCATTCGACTCCCAATCTATTATTTTGCATCGTACCCCTTAAGACTCTCAGGTTTTACCACTGAGGTTTAGGTTACAAAACACCTATGTTGATGATCTTCAAATCGTTATCACCATGATTTTGAGTAAAACCCAATACTCCGCATACTTTTTCTGAATTGATGGTGAACAATTTATTGTTCTAGATATTTACCCAATCAATTAACGGTGAACAAATCATTGTTCTAGTAATGTACCAATTGAATTGACGGATAAAACCTTTTGGTTTGTACCTTTGAATGTTCGAAATCTCATTTTTCCTTTGTGTGATCTTAATGAAATGTTATTGTCCCAAGTCATTTCTTCCTAATAGATCCAGGTTTTTTTTTGAGATTTTCGAATGAACATTTTCCGAAACACCAAGCTACTTTAAAAAAATCCAAAGCTTACTTGTTTTTATGGCTACACTAGTCAAACAAGTACTTCTTTCAGATCTTCAGACTTAACTTAAGTTTCGGAATATGTTTCAACCTGAAACCACCCATTAAGCCTTTTAAAAGATGCCTTTCATTGTTTCTCAACAAACTAATAATCGTAATTCAATGGGAAACCACTCAAGCACTTTGGAGTGTCTCTTGACTCAGAAGCAAGATATTGTTGCCCGGGATCCACCTGTTTTTCATATCAAACTTGTTTGATATCACAAATCCCACAATTTACATTTGCGTTATTCTTTTTCTTTGTCACACTCTTGCACTAAATCCTTGTGATTTTACATAGTCCGATTTATGTTCCAATTGGTTATTTGATTTCTGAATACATGAATCTCTGTCATAATTCCAATGGATATTGTTCTAGCATATGCAAAGATGGAGGGTAAATCGATGATTCTGAACATGATAGTTCCGAAAATGGTGATTCCGAAAATACATTGTCATGTTATTGGAAAATTTAAATCTTGGCGCGACTTTTGAAATTCCCTGACATCCGCATGTCGGTTATAACGGTATCTGACAACAGATTGATGAGTTGGCACATTTTTATTGGCTGATTTTTTGGCACTATGTGAACATGAAACGACAGTTTCTCTCTCCACTCATTTTTTTCGATATATAAGGATTTCAAACGGTTTATTTGCTCTCACCGCAAACACTACTCATGACTTTTCAAGCACATTCAAAGCTATCTATTGTTCATCTTCTTCAACACTTTTCCATGGCTTCCTCAGAGAACGTTTCATTTATAGATCAAACTGCCTATGTGATCATGTTGAATGTCAAACCAAACCAAAATCTTATCATTCACCTTGATGCTTCTCGTTACAACGCTTTGATCAGACCTTTAATCGAGTGTTTGAAGTTCTCACCACTGATGAAAGCTCTAACAATGTTAGAAGATGTCCCTCTAGTGCATCTATCCAAAGCTTTCTCCACTGCGATCTACAAGTCTGAAGATTTCATCAATTTTGAAGTTTCGAACCATAAGACCTCGATCTTGAAGCCCAATTTCTGCAAACTTCTAGGGCTTGTTATGCTTGAAATCAGTGTTGAACTTGAATCAATTCTTGTCACATACTTGATCGAGATGTTCTTTCAAATAGGCTACACTGGTGATATCTCTTTATTGTTGAAGTTCAGGAAATCATTCTTACTTCCAATGTGGAATGCATTATTTACTCTCCTGTTCAAAAGCTTGTCAGAAAGGGTTTTGGGTTCTGACAGTCCAAGCAATATTTTCTACACCCTGATCTATGGGTTATATCATGGTATCAACTTGAATTTTGGGTATGTTATTTGGTCACAATTTGTTCAAAGCACAAGTTCATTAACATGACACACATAAATTTCTTATGCTCATTTATGGTCAATCATTGTGAACGGAGCCCTTATGCACTATAGGGTTCCTCAGATGCAAGATTCTCTTATGGCTGACATTTTGATGCTACAAACCACTACAATTGTGATGTTGGATCCTAAGAATTTTGATTTCGTTGGATCAATTCCTGAAGCATTGCTGAAGAAAGTACCGTTGGACAATGTCATTATTAGGGCTTATCGAAAAATGCCATCTTCTGGTGTTCGTCCCATCCCTACGGAATTGAAGAAGATAATTTATGAAGGTGAAAAATCGAAACGCGGTGGTAAAAGGAAGGCCAAGGTTACTCCTTCAGATGGAATCAAAGTAAAGAAGAAAACAAACAAGCCAGTTTTGAAACCACGGTCTCCCTCTCCATTGCTTCAAGATCAATCTGAAGGGCAGACAGAATCTGATGTTTTGGGAACTTCAATCTTACGAAATAATCAGGAAGACACTACTCATACTTCCGAACCAAACCCTATTGAATCAATTCACAAGTTATATTCTCCTCCATCATCTTCTATTCCTACATCTTTGATACTATTATCCGAGAACCATTTCTGAACCTCACCTCACCACCTCCTCCACCTCCATTCAATCCACCACCATTACAAATGACAATCTAACCTATAACATCATCAATTCCGATATCATCCATTCCTCCTTTACCACAAATGAGCTCTATTGAAACAACACTTCCTATAATTTCAATCCATATATCCTCATCAACATTCACATATTCAACCATACCTACAAAATCAACTATCTCCACTCCACCAGAAGATCCGTGTATCAAATCTGTTTTGGAGGAGATAAGGACTTCAAACATCACTAGCAACGCATATGATGTGGAGCCAAATGCCAACATTGGTGTGACTTCTGAACATCCTTCTTCTTATGTTCCTATTTTTGATAATGATTTTGATATCATGTTCGGAGATGATCAAGAACCAAATTGTGACTTCGTCTTCCAGCCATTCACTGTAAATATGAAAAGTGATGACAACGAAGCTCCAATGACAAAACGACAGTTCTAGCAACTGAATGACAAGGTTGATTCCATTTTGGAGTATTCCAATGCCTTTTCTTCATCCATATGGGAATATATGTTGAAACCACATAAAGCCACTGTGGAATTGCTCACATCTACCAATGCAAAAGTGCTTGATGAAACAACAAAGGCTACTTAAGCTTCCAAACACAAAAATATCTAAAGCCACAGAGAAAGTCCAAAAATTGCAACAGGAAGTCAAGGAGTTCATGAATGACTTTCACACTTCTTCTGACAAAAATTTGGCCGACATGAACAAAGTCATAAAAGGATTTCGGATTTCAATACAAACAGAAAAGAAGCTCTCTCCTCTTTAGGCTCAGATATTTAGAATGCTAATGTTGAACTCAATTCGTCCATTTTTGAAAAGATCACAAAGTTACAAAATGACTTAGCCGCAGATAACAAAATCATGGATGTGTTAAGCAAACTCATAAAACCAAGGTTCTTTAAGAAAAGTTGGAACACGCATAACTTAATATTTCCAAGCTTGAAGAAAAAAAAGCTTTTAGTTAAACGTCACACTTCTGAAATCAACCAACAATTGTTGTGCATCGTTGAGTCTCGAGATGCTCCATTCTGTGACTTTATATGTTAGCCTCTCTCCGAAAAGCTCAAACATATGCTCGCAATTCTGAATCAAATTCAGGGTATTTCAGGAAGCGGGGCTTCTTCGAAACAAGGGGAGAAGAGGAGGAAAACCTGAAAAATCCATCTGGTCAGAAGGATAATGAAGCTTCTGGATCAGGAAAAGACAAAGGCAAAATTGTTTCTGAAAAATATACTGATGAAAATCCAAAAATGACTGAGTCAGAAAGAGCAGTAAGAAAGAAAAAGGATAAAGAGCTTGACGAACTCAATGCCCTCATGAAAAAACTTGATGCCAAAGAGGCTGAAGTCAAAAATTCAAAATTGATCCTTGAAAATCAAAAAACTGTATTCCTGGTCACTTGAGCGAATATAGAAGGAAGCAATCGATGATCCAAATCTGTATTGGTTGGAACCAACAACTTCCTTTGACACAAATAATGATGTAGAGTGTCAGTTAGATTTACCCATCACCCCAAGGGCATTTCTCTTCAGATGTTTTGAAAAGATTGAGAAATCCTTGATATCCAACAATGATGTAGACCAAAAGATCTTGTTTTATTTGTAGTATGCAAAACCGCAATACGAGTCATGGAGTCTTAAAAGAATTATGGGACTGAAGGTTGGCTTGCTTGTTCAAAGAAAAGACTTTCTGAATGTACATCTCAAAGGATTTCAAGGTGCCAATCATGTTCTTCACGAGTTCACTTTGGCTGATCTGCCATTTGTGAATCCTTATGATTGGATCTCGTTGTTTTACATTGTTGCGAAGGATGTGAATAAGTATGATCCCATATGTGAACATTAAAGCAAATGATTAAGTGTTACATTCTGGAAATTGAGAAGATGGATGTTGAAATAGCTTTTTTTTCTAAAAAAAGAGACTAATTCTGAAGTCGTTTGATCAACCGAAAGATATCCAACATCTAAAGGGAGGACTCATTGGCAAAAAGCATTGGAGCATCGTCTACAAAATGGAGGGTGATGAAATTAAAAAGTGCATGTTCTTTTTTAGGGATAAGAATTTGTACTCTACAAGTACTCTGAACTCCATCCTTACAAGGACTGAAGTGAACATGACAAACTCAGTTGCGGATGTTAAATGTGTTTCAGACATAATTCGTTAGTATATATCTGCTCGGGCATCACTTCTAAAGATCATGCCGAAGATTTTTGACGCTCAAAGGCAATAAAGAATACCTTCTTCTGATTTAACACAAAGGGGGAGATTGTTAAGTCTAATTTAGTGTTGTGTCAAATGGTTGTTTTCGGATTTTATATTATGTTCCAATTCTGAAATAGGGCATGCCCATTTTTGGAATTGTTGTCTTGTTTAGTCTATATATAGCGTATGTATGTAACATCTAGGGTTACTTCGTCTTCCTACTACTTTTCAATCATTATTGTTCCATATCAATGATTCATCTCGTAATATAGAATCTATAGATCTATTTGTATTTCTATTATCACTATAACATCGAATAGTAAAATTCTTGTACATAACATACTTATAAGTATGATTATTTACTTATACACTTGATTTTTGATAGTAAAATCACATGACAAACCACACTTTTTATAAGTTTAGAAGTTTTAGGAACTTCTATTTTATAAATACTTTTGGATATATACTACACACAGACATTCTTCTTATATGTTGAAGGCGTACAAATATACAAGGTTGTACAAGGTAGAGATACGATATACACATAAGGAAAAACATTGGATTTTTCTATAATTAAAGTCTTATGAACTTGCCAACTTTATGTTGACTTTTAAAACGACATGTAATTTCAGGAAACAATTAATCTTGGATCAATGGAACCACTATTGAAGGCAAGACACCAAATATCATTGCTTGAACTTTGTGATATTCGGTTGGGAACTATTCTATTTGATAACATACAAAACTTGTAATGTACTTTGATATCAGTTAACATTTGGATCGTATAACATATCTAATCATAGTGTATGATGGTTGTTTATGTACTTGTGTTTCAATGTATTCAATTATTATGATATTGCATTCTCGTTCCACCCTTAGACAATTCCACCATCCGGTTTGGGGTGTGATACAATCCATGATAGAAAACCAAGTCTGGGATTTGGTTGAACTTCCTCCCCAATGTAAGACTGTAGGGAGTAAGTGGGTCTTCAAGAAGAAGACTGGCATGGATGGCAATTTACAAGCACTCAAAGCAAGACTTCTTACTAAAGTTTTCACTCAAACCCAAGGGGTTGATTATGATGAAACCTTTTCACCAGTTGATATGATTAAATCTATTAGGATACTACTTTCCATAGTTGCATATCATGACTATGAGATATGAATAATGGATGTCAAAACTGCTTTTCTAAATGGAAACTTGGAAGAAAATGTCTATATGGTTTAGCCTGAAGGTTTTGTCGACCAAAATCATCCTAATAAAGTATGTAAGCTTAAAAGATGCTTTTATGGGTTAAAGCAAGCATCTCAAAATTGGAATCATCAGTTTGATTACAAAATCATAAAGTATGGTTTTGTTAAAAATGAAGATGAATCTTGTGTTTACATGAAAACTATTAGGAGCTCAATGACCTTCTTGGTCATGTATATGGATGACATACTTATCATTGGAAATCATATTCCGATTTTATGAGGTGTAAAGGATTGGATAGGAAAGTGCTTCTAAATGAAGGATCTAGGTGAGGCTCAATATATTCTTGGAATCAAAATCTACAGAGATAGACCAAAATGATTAATAGGTTTAAGCCAAAATACATAAATTGACAAAGTCTTGAAACGGTTCAAGATGGAAAAATCTAAGAGAGTATTTGTACCCATGGCGCATGACATGGTACTATGTTCATCCAAATGTACTGGCACAAGGTTGAGCTGGACAAGATGAAAGATGTTCCATATGCTTCGGTAGTTGGATCCATCATGTATGCCATGAAATGTACTAGACCTCATCTTGCTTATGCTATGATCATGACAAGAAAGTTCCGATAAAATCCAGGGGAGAGTCATTCGATAGATGTGAAGAACCTCCTTAAGTACTTGTGTAGAACTAAGGATATGTTCCTCATCTATGGAGGCATAGAAGAAAGCTTAAGTGTAAAGTGCTACACTGATGCTTCCTTCACAACAGATCGAGATGATTGCAAAATGCAATCAGGATATGTGTTCATTGTCAATAAGAGTGCAGTGTCACGGAAGAGCTCCAAACATAGTGTTGTAGCAGAATTCACTACAGAGTCAAAACACATCGCTGCTTCAGAAGCTGCTTGGATGAAGAAATTCATTGGAGATCTAGGCATGGTTCCTTCCATTCAGGATCCCCTAGATGTCTTCTGTAACAATGAGGGTTCCCATTGCTTTGGTAAAAAAAAACCTAGATCACACAAGAAGACCAGGCACATTTTCCAAAGATTCAACTTCATTCGGTATAAAGTTGAAGAAGGTGAAATCAATATTTGCAAAGTTCACACTAATCAAAATTTTGCGGACCCTTTCATGAAGCCTCTTCCTCAAGCCAAGTTTGATGGTCATGCTCGAGGGATCGTACTTTGCTATTCTAGTGATTGGATTTGACCTATGTATTAGTATTGAGTGTTGGAACATTTTGTAGCATCATCTATTGTAATGACTATGATATATATATATATATATATATATATATATATATATATATGGCATATGATCTTTTCGTTAAATATTTATTGAGTTCTTTATTAACATGTTTAATCCTTGAGTAAATTTATTCACCCTAAAATCCATAGTCGGTTATTATTGTGGGAGCAATAATGAAATAAGACTAATATGAATTGGAATGGTTAACAAAGTATTGTAACCAGTTTCATAGGTACTTGATAGAGAATAAGTATTCGATTGACCCGTTCAAGATCACTTCATGGATCGCCGTCATGAATGATACTTGATAAAAGGTAATATCTGCATATCCTTAATAACTGATATGCATATATAGGACTTAAGTGTAGGGAGTGGTATGGCTTGATGTAGTCAAATGTTGTTCTTTAAACAAGCAGTTATAAACGTTATTAAACATGATGTTTGTAACAAATGGATAACTTATAAACTTACCTTACACACCAGTTATAGCCTTGGGCTTTTGGGGAATTGGGCATTGATAGAATGGCACCTAGTCATATGTTGTTGGGGGCAATGAAATATTGCTAGACGTTCACCACTATCTATATCAATCTAATATAAGTCTTACGCAAGTGAGAGATTGAAAGATCTTGTATACTAAGGATTCATATTAAAATGATATTGCTAATTAACATATGATCCTAAGGGTCACACTAACAGCAACTCGGTACAATTGATTATTTATTAGAAATTGGTTTTAATAAATATTCAATAAACTCTTATAATTAATTGGAAAATATTATTTCATGGAAATAATGATTTTACAATAACAAGTAACACGTTATTTCATATGGTATGAATTAACATATCATGCACAACTTTTTGGACTATATGAATTCCTTTTGTCTTTTACCAAAAATTCAAGTTTTATATTTTATAAAGGAAGTGTATAAAATTTAAACTTCATGCTTTTTTATAATAAAAACCATAGCCTCTTATGAGGCATGGGTTCTTAATTTGTTTAGTAAAAAGAAATCTACCCTATGATGCATGCATGGATATAATAATGAACTAGGGACATGTTTTCTTAAAGTGCTAAGATCTAATGGTTAATATCTTCACTTTATATGTATACATGAGACTTGCATTTGGTTCTTCATACTTGTATGAAAATTTTGAATTTGACTCTCCATCTCTCATTCTCTCTTTCTTTGAAGATCAAGAGTTCAAGTTACTTGCAGTTTTGCTCTCTTAGAAGTATTACTTTGGTTTTACTTTCAAGCTTAAGATTTTTATCACCAAGACTAGCATCTTGAAGTCAAGCTGAGGTCTTGTTGGTGTCTTAAAGGTTCAATATTCTTCATCAACTATCAAGACTCCCTATAGGACCCAAAGAACAATAAACGTTGTTATTTTCTTCATCTCTTCTATGGTTGTGTTTTTATCTTTCCATTTCTTGCAAGATGATCCTCGGTGGGTTGTAACTTGTTTATTTTGTTCAAAGATCAAGTCTTCCGTTTTCCATGTTTTTCAAGTTTATGAAACTATTTTTGAACTAAAACCCAACATATAAGTCTTGATAGAATTTCGAAAATAATGTCATGAAGCAATTAAAATATTTAGTAATCTTGATAACCGATAACAAGTTGCGTTTAAAATTTGGAATGTATAAAACATCGTTTATCTTCATGTTATTGGGTAATCGAGTAACTCCAATTCCTTGAACAAAGACTTTATCATCATTAGGAATTCTAACTGGAATGCGTTCTTTTGGATGTTTTAAATTAGACGAAGTCGATTCAGGGCACACAACATGTCTAATTGCCCTGGAATCAATTACCCAAGGCAAACGAAATTCAAACTTAACTACCATGTTGATTTTCGGGATTTATACATCATTTATTTTCTTCATTAACTTCGTGTACTGCTCCAGACTAAGACTAGCCCTGTTGAAAATATCCGATACCCGAATTACCCGCCCAATTTTTTCGGGTAACGGGTAAATCGGGTCGAGTAAATTGGGTATTGGGTATATTTTTTTGGGTAATTGGGTAACCCGATTTTTTTTCATGTTTGGTATAGGGTACGTTTGTTGGGTTTCGGGTATACCCGAATTACCCAAATTATTTTAAAAATTCATTTTTTTTTCGTAGAGCTTATACTAGTTTTTATTGCAACTAACAAACTCATTATCTTGACGAAACTTCAGAACATGG